ATCCGAGGAGAGAGGTAATTGACCTTATTCTTTCAAATGCGCCCAGCTCTTAAAATGCGTCCAGCTCTTAAAATGCGCCCAGCTCTTAGCAACTACAGATATCTAACCTAGCAACTACAGAGAACTAACCTTGCAACTACAGATAACTAACCTAGCTATTACCTAGCAACTACAGAGAACTAACTTAGCAACTATTGAGAAATAACCTAGCAACTACAGAGAACTAACCTAGCAACTACAGAGTTTTGACTACTACTCGCGTCACCTTGGCTTTCACTCGGGCGTGGGTAATACTTCGCATAAGATCTGGTTCTTTCACTCGCGTGACTACACTTGTCGAATCCTTCGCGACACCGATCAGGTGCTTCACGTTGAGCTTTCCGCTGCCCACATCCCAGAGCCCATCTTTCACACCTTGGTTTATGCCAAGTGTACTAGGGTCGGGCGATATGATCTTTGGGACACCCTGTGTGAGATTGCCGAGAGTATGGAGGGATTGCCATGGATGGTTAGTGGCGATTTCAACATCTTTCTGCATCCCGATGAGCGTGTGGGTGGCCGTTCGGACCGGTCACGGGAGATGTGGGATTTTGCTCAGGCGGTGGCGGACTGTGAGTTAATTGACGCTGAATGTGATGGTGAGCCCTTCACGTGGGTGAGGGACGGGCTCAAAGAGAGGCTCGACCGTGCCTTGGTTTATGAGGCGTGGGCGAAGGTGTTTGCGGTTACGACCGTCACACACTTTACTCGATTTGGATCTGACCACTCACCCCTTCTCATCTGGTGCCGATTTTGGAGCACCCCCCGCCGCTCTTCATTTAGGTTCCAGAACATGTGGGTTCGCCACCACTCGTTCCACGACACTGTCAGGGATTCCTGGCTTCAGCCGACTGGGCTCTTCGGGATGCGCAATCTCGAGGCGAAGCTCGGCAGACTGCGGCGTCGGTTGAGACAGTGGAACTGGGATGTTTTTGGAAACCTTCATCAGCGCCTTTCTGCGGCTCAGAGTGCGCACGCGACGGCTGAGCGGGCCTATAACCTGGACCCCACTCCAAAGAATAGGACTGCGATGCACCGCTGCCACGCCGAGTACCAGCTCCAACTCCTTATGGAGGAGGACTTCTGGAAGTAGAAGGTGGCCGTTCGCTGGGTGCCAGAGGGCGAGCGGAACACTAGGTTCTTCCAGGGCTACGTTAGGCAGAAGCGTGCTAAGTCGTACATCTATAGTATCGAGGCTGATGGGTCATCCCTGACCCAGGAGGCTCAGATTCGGGAGTCGGCTGTTGCTCACTTCCAGACCATTTTCACCTCTGACAGAGGGTCCCTCGTGGCCCCGACCGCTTCTTTCTTCCCCACCATCCCTCCTTCGGTAGATCTCATTGGACTTTGTGAGCTCCCGAGTAGGGAGGAGGTTAGAGATGCTGTTTTCGGGATTGATCCGAACAGCGTTTATGGCCCGGATGGTTTCTCCTCTCTCTTCTACCAGGTCTGCTGGGATTTAGTCGAAACTTACGTCGGGGAGGCAATGTTGGATTTTTTCTCCGGACACCGGATGCCGGATTCCTTCACGTCTACCTCTGTCGTCTTGAGCCCCAAAACACCCAACCCGAGCTCTTGGTCCGATTACAAGCCCATTAGCCTGTGTAACGTGACCAACAAGCTCATTTCGAAGATTCTTAACAGTCGCCTTTCACCTCTTCTCCCCTCCCTCATCTCTCCGAACCAGAGTGGCTTCGTCAAGGATCGGGTCATTAGTGATAACATCCTTCTGGCCCAGGAGATGATCCACGACATCTCCCGAGCAGACTGGAAGCGGGCTCCGAATATCGCGCTGAAGCTGGACATGGCTAAGGCGTATGATAGGATTGAGTGACCGTTTCTTAGGGAGGCTCTGGCTAGGATGGGATTTCCTGAGCGTTGGATCAGCTTTGTGGAGGCGTGTGTGGAGCACTGCACGTTCTCGGTCCTGGTTAATGGCAGCCCCACCGATTTCTTTCCCTCCTCTAGAGGCCTTAGACAGGGCGACCCCATTTTCCCTTCCCTCTTCGTCCTTGCAGCAGACTACCTCTCTCGCAGCCTTGACGTCTTCATCCGCGACTCTCCTCATATGACCTATAGCACCCGTGGCTATGGTCCTCCCATCTCTCACCTCTCTTATGCGGATGACATCATCATCTTCACCTGGGCAGATGATGATGGACTGGTCGACCTTATGCGCCTTCTGGAGCACTATGGCTCGGTCACCGGTCAGCTGGTCAGTGTGCAGAAGAGCACCATCATCCTCTCATCTTCCACCGTTGACAGGTGGGCTCAGCGGGTCCACCATATTACTGGCTTTGCGCGTGGCGACCTTCCCATTACCTACCTTGGGGTCCCTTTATATAAGGGCAACCTCACGAGAGCGCTCTTTGCAGGCGTCAGGCAGAGGATGATCGACAGGATATCTGGTTGGTCGCATAGACATCTTTCTTTCGGTGGTCGGCTTGCGCTGATCAAGAGCACCCTTAGCTCTCTTCCGATTCACCTGCTTATGGTGCTCGACCCCCCTAGGTCTACTCTTGACAAGATTGACGAGATTATGACTCGTTATTTCTGGGGTTACGAGGACGGTTCTGGGAGGAGGAGACGTACCCACTGGGTGAGTTGGGACTCTATCTGCCGCCCCCTCCCCGAGGGTGGCCTTGGCATCCGCCGCCTCAAGCCAGTAAATATGAGTCTTCATATTTAAAAGCGCATAACTGACCAAAAAAAGTATAAGACTGTCGACCCTGAGTGGTACGGCCGGTCCCAATTTGCGTCCCGGAGTGCCGAAAATGAACCTATTCAAAAAATAGAATGAATGATTGCTTGAAGGGTAGAGGGAGCATTGCAAAGGCCAAAGGGTATCACCAAATATAGAGAATGGATCACCCGGGGACATCTATCGGAAAAGAGACATTGTTACAGCTTTCTCCTACAAGCTGTGGTGGCGCTTCAGAGAGGGAAAGTCGCTTTGGGCTCAGTACCTTCACGGTAAGTACTGACCCAGACGTGCCAACCACCCTTGGGTCACGGCTGTTGATCATGATAGCAGACAGTGGCGCCGCCTCACTAGGATTGGTAGGCGGGCCCAAGATCACATCTTCTGGGTGTTGGGCGAGGGCGGGGTCAGTCTCTGGGATGAGTGGTGGGTAGGTGATAGGCCGTTGTCTAGGGATAGGCAGGTGTCGCATTCCCCCTACCTGCTTGTGAGCGACCTTTGGACGGACGGGTCGTGGGATAGGGGGAAGCTAGACATGGAGTTGGGCTCTGGGGCGGGTTTTGGCGAGCATTTATTAGATCAGATCCAGCAGATCCCTATCTCGGAGGACGGTTCGGATGGCATGAGGTGGAGACTTACATCATCGGGTGTGTTTTCTACTACCTCGGCTTGGGAGCAGATCAGGCTGAGAGATCAGCCTAATCTTCTTTTCAGGGTCATCTGGAGCGACCTTTTCACCCCTACCATTTCGGTGTTCCTTTGGCGCCTCCTCTTGCGCCGGATACCCGTGGATACTGTGTTACACGCGAGGGGGATCTCCTTCCCCTCTCGGTGTGTATGTTGTTCTGAGACA